ACATATCCAACCTGCCTGACTCCACCGGTTCTTACTTACTTAACTTAAGCAATTTTGATTTACACTTACAGTTAAATGTCTTTTTATCTTATCGACATTAATTAGTCCAGTAGTTTAAACTATTTATTTGTTCGGTCAGTGTATATTGTACAAAAAGTATGAATAATATGGAAAAAATCTGTGGACTTAGACAGCTTTGATATTTACCTACTCATTTGTAAACACTCAGGTTTTCAAGAGCTAAGAATTTTCCTCAGTTTCGTCCAATTTCATTCACTGAATCAACCTCCATATTAACAAAAAGAAGTTGGGTAATTTATTTTAGCAAATTTTGGTGAAACCCTGACCTATTAGGGTATTTAAATGAAAGTATTTACTTAGAGAGAAAAATGGTTATACTTAAAGGAAATATTGAATGGCTTTTTGAAGGCCTTTGTTTTATTTTCTCGGTAAATAGACCTGATAGATCAACTTTCCCCTTAGCGATGATCCTCGCACGAGAATCACGTATCCTCCGTCATCTTGCGTAATTGAAATTTTGTCTGTCGTGAACGTGCGTGAGTTAAATTTTCCCGCACAATTCGTAGGAAGTCAGACTGCAGTTGGGTATTCACGTCGATGACGAACCAATTCCGACGGTGAATAACCCGAAAATCCTCGGAGTAACTTTCGAAAGTCTGCTCTCCTTCTCTGCGCACACAACCGTAATTGTCAACAAAGTACAGAGCCGCAACAAGCTCCTAAAGTCGCTAGCCGGCACCACCTGGGTTGAAGACAAAGAAAAGTTGCTGGCAACATACAAGGAGATTGGCCGGCCGGTTCTAAACTACGCAGCGCCAGTCTAGTCGCCGGGGACTAGTAGGACGCAGTGGATGAAGCTGCAGACAGTACAAACACTGCACTATGGACAGCTACCGGATGCCTTCTGATTTCGCCACAACATCACTTACATGACGCGGCGCAAATGCTCCCCGTTAACGAGCTCAACACAATGCTCTGCAAGCAATTCTTAGTACGGAGCCACAGACGTGGATACCCAAACAGACACTTGCTTGCAGAGGAGCCCTCGCCAAGGCATGTCAGAGGGCATCTATACGAACTAGCGCACGCACTTAGAACACGAACTGTCCGTCAGATCCAGATTCGTACCTCGTCGTAGTCAGGCGGTGGGACATCGACTCCAGCGTCGTATAGAGGGGGGCTCGGGTTCGTCTTCTCCACTACTTTCAGTGCTGCTGCCATTCAATAGGGTGGAAAAGTGTTCCCTACATAATTTAAGTACGTTCTGGATATCAGTCTCTAGGTCGCCATGGTTGTTCCTACAGGAGTTCGCCCTGATCTTGAAACCTTCAGTATGTCGCCTAACTCCCTGATACAATTTTCGGGCGTTTTTCCTGTCGGCCAGCATTTCAAGCTCTTCACACTCACGTATGTCGGCCTCTCTCTTCTTATTGCGCCAAATACGTGTCGCTTCCCTCTTCAGATCCCTAAAGCGGTCCCACATAGCGCGCGTTGCGCCCGATCGCAGCGTGGCCCTATAGGCGGCATCTTTTTTCTCTGTAGCTTCCTGACACTCCTCATCGTATCAGTTGTTCTTTCGGGCTCGCTGAAATCCGACTACTTTTTACGGCGGCGGTACTAAATGAGCGTATGTCGGTTTGTGAGTCGAGTGGCGAATAAATTGGTCGTCTGTTGTGATTGCAGCTTTTCGCCGTTAGCCTTCCTTGCTTTGTTGGGCGGACATTTTTTGCTGTGGTCCGAGTCGATGTTTGGCCCTCGGAGTGTACGTAAGTCTAAAACACTGGAAGCATGCCTTCCATCTATCACAACATGTTCGATTTCGCTGCCCGTTTTTTCGATCTGGAGACAGCCATGTAGCTTGGTGGATCTTCTTGTGCTGGAACCTAGTACTACATATTACCATGTTTCGGGCCCGGCGAAGTCGATCAGCCTCAATCCGTTATCGGACGTTTCGTCGGCGAGGCTGGAGTTTCCGACAGTGGCACCAAAGATCCCTTCCTTACCCACCGTGGCATTGAAATCGCCAAGCACGGTTTTTATATCGCGTCAGGGATAGCGCTCATATGTTCCCTCCAAGCGGTCATAGAAAATATCCTTGGACGTCTCGTCCTTCTCCTCCTTCGGAGCATGGTCGCAGATGAGCGAGATATTGAAGAATCTCGTTTTGATGCGGATTGTGGCTAGACATTCGTCCACTGGGGTGAACGCCAGTACGGAGTCTCTCACACGTCACAGACGTCGCAAGGCTCCACGCTTACCAAGCGGGTGTTTTGTCGCTACCCAGAGGATACGTGGATATAAATATCCGGACGTTGTGATCTGAGCATAAAATTCAGAGCAGCTCAACTACTGTCTACGGAGAAGCTCGCAGCTCCCTTTGCTCCTAATCTCATTTGTGGCACGGGCTGGTTGGCTAGCTGTTCTGTGTCATTAGACGCCGGTCTCGAACTTTTGTTATTCGACGGAAAATCGATGATTTAACATTTCTACAAAATTATTATTGCTGTTGTTATAATGTTGCCGCTGTTGCTCCTACTTAGGTGCACGTTCGCCTACTTCTGCACAAATACATTTACATACATAGTTTATATGAGTTTTAAAAATAAACTCGCAGCATTCGTATTTTCATACATATTTGCTCAGCTCTGGCATTGCACTTGTGTATTCGTACGCACGTACATACATATGTGTGTCAGACTTTGCGTGTGAGTATACCTTGGCAACGCATTACTACTGATCGTGTCTTCAGCAATGATCACGGATTGTTGTATGTGTTTTTGAAGATATCGTATTCTATGTATGCAATGCACTTCGTTGCAAGTACATACTTTTTTCACGTTGATTTCGAAACTTTGTAGCGCAAAGCAGCAACACCAACAGTCTTACAAATGCGCCAGCCATCAGCAACATTAGTGATCGTGCTGATCGTCCGTCACTACAATGCTCATAGGGTTGGCTCACCGTGGCAGGGCGCTGTGCTTTGTTTATGGGTATGTGAGTATTTCCTGTATGCGTGCTGTTGGTCCGCGCTGCGCCCATTCCTTTTGCCGTCTTTGCTGGAGTAGAATAAGTAGTAGCTGCGGAGTCTGCTGTGCGTTGGTTCGTCTGCGCATCAAATGCTCTGAGATGAGTTCAGATTTATTTATGGCTTGCCATAGAGTCTTGGTTCCTTTACTTGTTCATCATTTTTGTTTATAAATTTATAGAGGCCTTATAGTGTCAGCAGCAGCAAGAATAGTAGCGCGCATGTTTCGAGGAGGTAATTGAACTATTCTTAAAATAACACCTAGGCAAACCAGAGTTCAATACCATTTGTTCGCAAGTCTGGTAATGGAATTGCTTCTCCTTACGCTCAGCCTCAAAGCAGGCAACTTTTTCACAAACCCCTTTCTTCTTCTATTCTCTGTAAGTACTAATGCTTACACACATGTGGGTGGTTAATTTTATGGTTTGCAGCAATCGCAGAATTCCGATCTGTTATTACTAATGTCTGTTTATCTTTCTACGTATCTACATACATACATCTGTATGTATGTACGCGCATATGTACTATACATACATATATGTAGATATATATTGCCTATGCACCATCCAAATGTTGTATTTTTTTCTTTAGGCAATCATTCGTTTTTGTAAATATTTCGGTATTCGGTTACTATTTTTAGTCCGAGATTAGCAATCGCACACTCTTGGAAAATCGTTTCATATCGCGCTCTCGGTTCTGCTCTCTGGCTTTGCCTCCTTTTTTATGTTTTTGTTGCTTTTTGGCACGCTTTGTCTCGAGAAGTCAGGCATACAGTCTTTAGTTAGTCAGTCTGGCAGTCAGGCGACCAGTTGGCCGCTTCGGCGCTGAGTCATACGCACAAATATACATACTTATGTACATAGTACATATAGGCCATTTGGTTTTGAAACGAAATGGTTTTAGTATTTATTCTGCGCTTTTATTTAATGCCACACATTGCTAAATGAGCTCATATACAAAAACAAATACTAAATAAATTTTAAAAAAATTTCATAGGCATTTTAATTTTTGCATTTTTTTTTGCTTTTACTGAGGCTTCGACTGTTCTTACAAGATCGTGAAAAAGTGGGCTTTCTATGCGTGCTTCATTGGTCCAGGATATGCAGTATCCTTCATTGCCTCATTTTACTCTAGAATGCTCTAACTGGAGGATCATTCTAAAGCTCATAAAGTTCGTCAGTAACCATCACCCACCCCCCACAAGACCTAAGATCTTGTGTTGAAAAAGTTTTCCCGGTAGCTGGCGAAGATTTGTAGAATGAGACGAGGCAGGGCTCAGCTTTTCAATTATTCCTACAGAGTTAACCCTAAATAATTCGGACAAACTTGGCAATTCACGCTTTGAGGTTCCGAAACTTATACCCGTTCGGTCAAGCAGAGGTAAAGAACAATATTTTTTTCTAGCTGCATCAACTTTACTCGATCTGAGGTTCACAAAAATTCATTTCAAAGATCCGTTAGCATTGGCCTCAGTAATGAAGTTCTTGCGAAATAAAATAATGTGCGCAGATGACTGTATGGAAACGGGTAGCGAATCGTCACTAGAAAAAATTAAAAAATTATGATTTGGGTCACCCACAAGATGAAATGAGTTTTTATTTAAATTGTCAAGTCCTACAACTAAAGCGAAATATATATCATCGACGCTTGGGAGGAAATTAAAACTGTTTAGCCAAAACCTTACGGAGTTTCGACCAAAATACTGTCATTTAGTTGGTACCTCGGTTGGTGATGGTAAATAATAAATAATTATCGCCGCTAAAAATAAGGCTAATTAACAAGAGAATTAGATATTTTTTTTGGAAAAGTGTTTTTGTGAATACTCAAGTGCCCTTAAAAATTCGATTAATCGATTATTTCTCAATAATTGTAATTAATTGTAATTAATTTGTACTAACTCAGCGCTGTCAGACAAACGAAGTAGCGTGGGACTAACAATATGTAAGTCCTCACTGGAAATGATCTTTTGGATATTATTTACAGTCATCCGGAGTTCTTAAGCGAATTGTAAAATTCAATCTTTTACACTTCAAGCTCTCTAAAACAGAAATCTGATTTCATCATAGTTCAAACTTTTTTTACTTTTTATCTTTTAGCCCAAAAATCTGTAATCTCAATTAATAGACTATTTTTAAATGCTCAAGTATTTCCTTCTGTAAACGTATGTATGTACTTACATACATCCATTATACATTTACTAAGTTACCTTCGCTACACCGAAGATCAGCACAAAAGTTTTCCACCAAGAAAATTCAAAGCCATTTGTAAAAAAGCATCGTTCCGATCAAGCGCAGACAAATTTCCAACGCTCAGCGCCAATTTGAGTTCCACTTCGTGTTTCAGTGTACATTCGTATCCCGACACGTCGATTACTACCTCCGAGCATTGTTTCAGTGCCGTGTTTTCATTGAGTTTTCTACTAAAAATCCAAAGCATCAACAAACAAAAGCACAGCAGCCAGCACAAGTAAGCAGTTCTTTTGGCGCTGACCTGAACGCAGCGCACCGACAAGCCGCCCTCACCCGTTTTTCAGCCGACACTTTGCGCGCTCGCCCACATCAGCTTGCTTCAAGTGTTGTAGATATTCCTTTGCTAAGAAAAACGTTGCGTAGTTGTTGCATTAATTTTCATTAAAAATAGAACTCAAACATCGTCTTTGTACGAGCACAACTCTTGTGTCTAGTCTGTGTTCTGTCTTTGAACGCGGTGCACGCGTCTTTCGTCGTAAACGCTGAGGTGGAAAGTAATAGCGCAAAGCACGGCAAAGACAAGAGGCGGGCAAAGGAAGTATTTAATAAGTGCATTGAAATAAGAAGGAACAGATAGAGGATTGCAGCAGATCCATTGTCGATCAAACTAAGCGATCGCCTGGTTGCACGATCAATCATATGTAAGTGAATAGAAAAGGCATAGTTCAGCAGCAGAAGCAGTTGTGAAGTGCAGCAAAGGGAGTAGCAGCCGCAGTATTGGTGCCAATTTTGCCGTTTTCACAGAGGTAAGAACTATAACGCGAACTCAAGCAGGCATCCAAGTCTGCCTGCCTGCTGTCTCCCTGCGTTAGGCGGATGTGAAAATAAACAATATTTCAAGCACTACGCAACAGTTTAGAATAACTGCACACATACACACGCACACATTTGTGGTGGCAGCCAGCCGCTAACGCTGCTGCATTCCTACGTATCATTTACAACAATTGCGACTTGCTGCGGAAGGCTTTTCCATTTTCCAATTTTCGTATTTTCCTTGTGGCCTGCTTATATGAAGGCGTAGTGGCCAACAGCTTTCAGCCGCCAACCTAGGCTACTTATACGCACGCACACACACGATCGCATAGCGGCCAGCGAAGTGAACTCTCACTCTCTCGTACGCCTACAAGTGCCTGCGCTCTGCATAATTTTTTAGATGCTCGCGATCGCTTTCGTGTCCGCTTTCGCTTGAACTTTTTGGCCACCACATCTTGGCGTAAATTCATTTCGATTTAATTTTAGTCCAAGGTTTAAAGCGTTTGTGGCTTTTGTGCGCGATCACTCGCTCGTTCGCTTGTTCGATTATTCGTTCGGTTGATCGTTCGTTTGGCTAGTTGGTTGGCCTCTGCTCACTTGTACACCCTCTCGTTCCCACCGACACACACATCCATAATACTTGATTGTTGGCTAACTGTTGTTTTGTTTAATTTGGCTGTTGGGTTGCGTATACGCGCGTTGATCAGCAAAAGCGAAGTGTAAGCGTTCATCACTTCGATTTTGAATTGGAATTTCGGATTTGCTGTTGGCGGGTGCGTGTGCATTACATATTCATACATACATGCATTCATACTTGTACATTTATAAAATATGTGTGTGTATATTTGCTTGCGAGTTGAAGGTGGGGTTGGAAATAGCAACGCATTTCGAAATCTCCGCCCTATGCTTTGGGTTTCTTATAGTGTATGGTTGAAATTTACGACTTCGGTTTGGTATTTAAAGTAGTTTGAAGACAAAGCTGAACGCTTTTCTCCACTGCTTCTCGTGTTTCAATGTCTTGAGTAGTTAACTTCTAATACGGCTTTCCCACGTTACCGTGAATTACTTTGTTCGCTCCCCCAATTACGATCGCGAATTCCCTCCCACGGGCACATTCTTAATTCGATTTGACTGTTCTGTGTCTCTGTGTTTTTTTTCGCTGCGAAATTGATGCAAAATGTAAGTTATTGCTAAATATTTATAAATTTCTGTATTAAATTGGTGATATACACATTTATTATTATTCTCAAAAAAATTTCCAGTTTTGATTCGATAAATTTCCGATTAAAATTAGAGACGCAAGCGATTTGTTCGTAAGTCGCATGGTAATCGGATGGCTCTCAACTTACATAATTTTCCATTTAGCAGAATCGGATTCGAAATCTTTGAAAATCTAACGCCAAATTTTTTTATTTAATTTTTTTATAGCACTTTCGATTCGGCCTCTATAATTAGTTTTTGCAAAATTTAGAATCAACAGTTACATATTTTCTAAAAAAAAATAAAATGCTGAATATTTCGATGTAAAACAAAAAAAACATAAAATAACTTCTTTTAATCAGAACCAACACAAAACAACGCATACAGAAAATATGCCAGACTACATGCCGTCACTTTTGTAATTCTCCAAACAAGTTTTTGCAGGTTATAGCTTAATTGGCTAATTTTTCGTATACAAGTATTTTCTAAAAGTCTCCAAAAGTTTTTCTGTTGGAGAGTTAAGCAATCACTTTTATGGCAATCTAGTTCAAAATTTTGGTTTTTGAATGCTTTGGTTTTGTTGAAAAATACCGAAGTGCCGCACTGCGTTAACTCCTCAATTTTTTTGTCCCCAATTCTAATACGCAAAATGTATATTAAAATTACTATTCTTTGTAGCATAGGTTAATTTGTGTATTAAATGGTAAAAAATAACCTCTACAAATCTAAACTTCAATTTTTTTACTTAATTTTTGCTTAAGCTCCCCAACTTGTTTTGGTTTGGTAGAGCAAGCTTTCAAAGCTTTTGAAAATAACAAACCTAACTATTGTTCGGAGAAATTTTTGCATGTCAAAAACATGTCTCAACATCTCCACAGCCTCTAAGTCTCCAACATTTTTTGCGATTTTTATATAAAACTCAACTGTCATGCAATTATTATGCTTGAGTTTTACTCTTTAAATGAGTTCTTTTGAAAAAAAAGTATGTATTTTTCTGTTAAATGGTAATATTTCTAATCCTCCATTTTCTGTCATCTGAAGCGTGTTATTCTCGCGTTTATAGCATTTCCAAGACTCAAAATAAATTTTTTATTACTCTTCCTTTCGTTATAAAGTTATATTAAGGCATTACATAAAAGTCTCCACAACTCTCCAATTTTTATTTTTGTCATTTCTAGCATTGTCAATTAGTGGCAAATGACTAAGAAATATTTTTTACTTAAAAAACTTGCCTTCTGCTAGTTTTTATTTTATTTTAAGTATCCTCAGCGTATTGCGCCTAAGCGTTTCTCTTCTTCCATGCGTTCGATCGCGTTAATCGAACATTTCGAGCACATACATATGTACAACAGCAAATTCAAGCTCTGCCATCTCTTTCACTCACTTGGACTTTTCTTGTTTGTGATTTTGGCTTAGCCAAAAATAAATTTCCCATTTTCTTCGCCACACATACTGTGTATGTATGTATGTATGTATGTACATACGTATGGATTTGTAATAGGAATGTATAAATAAAGCTTTAGCAGTGCTTTTCTTAGTATTTTCGGAAAATACACAGCTAGTTTTGTTTAAATTTGTGTGTCTTTATTTGCCAAAACTAAGCTGTTTTCTTGGTATTAAGAATATTCGACTGCTCATATGCATGCATTTTTGACTCAGTTGAAAGGTTGAAAATGATTCGTATTTATTATCTACAAAGTAGTATAAATCGAGCTATGCAGAATTGGAGGTCCTATGCCTGCGCGCTCATCCATCTGTTAATGCTAAGTGATTTAGCACAGTCTAGCTGTATACCTTTTTTATTTGCAATTTCAAAAACCCAACAATTGGAGTTGGATATGATTCTACAGCCTTTTTTGACTTCAGAAAATCTGTTGAGATCTCTAACTCCATTTGAAAAAAAATATTTATATGTATACGATGTACATATGGGATTTATTTCACTATGTAGATATGTAGTATATTACGTTCGAGATAGTGTAATACTAAAACTACGATGAAACAACAACAATTAGGTAAAAATACATATAAAAAATAAACATTGTCTTTATCTTGTTTTGAGGCCATGTTTTTTTTTTGTTATTTTATAAGCTTTTCTTCTCTAATAAACAAATACAAACACACACACACACACACTTACAATCCTTGGCTAAGTGCTTGATAAATTTACAGTTAAGTGGGCATTTGTGCTGTGGTGTTTCGAAATGATACGAGTTCAAACGCATGACTTTGAGACGATGAGCCACAATTGCATCAATACATGCAAAGAGTCTCTTAAGCCTTTACTGTATGTACAGAGGTATGTATGTGTGCATGTGCGTTCAATTAGCTGCAAAGTCTTGCACACACAGGTGAATCTACTGATAAGAACCGATAACATTTTTTGATTTCAGTTTTTATCACCCCACCCTGCCGCTCTGTGCCCCACCGGGAAGGTGTGTGTTCATGTGTTCGCGTGTAGATATTGAGCTTCAACCAAAGCACTCAAGCCCGTGTTCGTTCTGTGTTGTTTTTCATTATTTTTTATTTACATTATTTTTATTTTTCATATCTTTATCTGTATGGCTTTTATACTGTATTGGTGCAGATAGTGAGCGCTTAAATTGTGGCCATCGGAGGTTACCTTTAGCACCGCCGATTAAAACTGATTGAGGCACAAAATCGGATGTAAAAAGAGACTAGATACATATTTGCAATGCTTTTAACTAAAATCTAGGGGAGTGAGAGGAGTTTCGGATGTGAAGTATGTATGTAGATTTGCTTCAAAATTTACTCCAATGTTAACATAGTAGTCAACAGTTAAAGCCACAGAGAACTGTTAATTCGTTTGAGGAAGTCTCCTTAGTCTAGGTTCAGACGGAGAAACTTTTGCCGCGGCAACTCGTTACTTGTGGGAGAGGGGGAAGCGAGGAAGGGGCAAGGGCACCGAGTTGCTCGTGCTTCGTTAACACGCATTGTGCTCTCGTTCGTCTGAGTTATTCTAGTTGGCCGTTCACAGCTGAAACAACAATTTCTCTGTGTAAACGCAAAGGGCAACACCAAAGGAGAAATTGCCGAAAATGAGCAACAAAAGTTTCTCTGTTTCTCGATATCGATCGTTAAATTCATCGATAACTGCGCCGCTTGTTGCATCGAAAAATGCGCACTAAACAACGGTGTCCATAAATTTATGAATAATTATTAAATATATCTTTGGCGGTAACGATGGTTGAATCTATAATTATATCAACAAAATGTATCGATAAAATGTTAAATGATGTTACATGGGCGTATCGATAAATATGTATATCAACAATGCTTATCGATAAATATTTAAATGATTACATAAATGAATATGTGTATGAAATAGTATACCGATAACGATAACGATACAGAGTATGAAAAGGCTACTGACGAATCTCTACGTTAAGCTGATTACAAATTCCAAAAAAATTATATTTCGCATCTGAAGGGACATTCTCTGACGGTGGCTATAAAGGGGAGAGGTTTTTAATAAGTAGACCTAAAAATCTTGGTCTTGATTGGCAATATGTATTTGGATTTCATAATTTGGTTTTCACCAAATAAAAACGCTTCAGTAAATACTTTATTCCATACCGAATCCGATTTCTGCTCACAATTCTTTAGTCCTCATCCCATTCAAATTTTTTTCGATCTTGTTCCATGAAATCGTTTTTATCAAGGTGGAGTAATAAAAGCCACGTTTTTGCTCGTTGAACACAAAGACAATCTTTCATGAAAAAAAAATACCTGTCTTTATTTACCTACCCCACTTTGATTAAACTTGAAAGTTTTCCGCGCGCTTACGACTCAACCCCAGCAATTGAAAAAAAGCACCTCATAAAAATTCACATATACATATATACATATTTACAAATCGAATATTTGCGACAGATATCTAATCTTCAAATTGAAGTCGATGAAATAGTGGCGTCAAAAACTCACACTTACACACACACACACACACCAGAACCAGTGCAACAACGAGCAAAGCAGCTTAGATATTTCTTTATGAGTAAAAATTCAAGTTAACCCTATATTAATCATTAGCGAATCGGTGGAAAAAATTAACAGTGTGCAAACAAGCCACGCAACTGATAGGACAGGCTGAGGCGTGTAACGCGACAGTCAATGTAGGGGCGGACGTATTGTGGGAGGCCATTCGCTTGATCATTACAAACCATACTTTTGTATGAACAAAATAAAACAAACATACAATGACGAGCTTAAAAATCTACATAAGTACTTAAAACAAAGCATTGATTAGAAAATAATAGATTTTGTAGCAGGGGGCATTGTAACTTGAGAAAATATTTTTCACAGATACATAGCTGCCAGCTAGCTATACAGATATTTTACACTGTAAGACGCGCTTCAAGTCCAGTTTGAAAAATAAGAATAAACTAAATAGAAGATTTTATTGTGAATGCGCAAACAAAGCGCGGCGACTGTGTATTTAAGATTGCAACACGTTGGTAAAGAATAAGCGGAGAGGGCAGGATTAAGTAGGTTAACAAATAAGAGTAGTAGACAGACAGACAGCCAGCCAGCCAGCCAGATAGCCGTGTATGCCAAATGCAAGAGGCGCACCACCATCCAACCACACACAATCCAACCTGCCACGAAGGTGGCTGACACTTCGGCGTGGCGACAAGTGGGCAAGACTACCTGCACGCAGAGTACGAGTATAGGAAAAAAATATTAAATTAGGCTATATCAACTGATAGCGCGCGCGATATACATATGTACGTTCCAAAGCCAGCTGAGTCAGAGCTGCGCTGGAAACTATATGTAAGTACTTTTGTTACACTTGTATGAGTTTGTGCACCTAAGTTTTATAGCGCTGGTCTGTGTGAGGTGTACGCAAACAAATACTCAGCCCGCCGTCGACAACAAAGTTTAAGATAAGATTGAAGCGCTGATAGGTTGATATGTACATATGTACGTAGTGGGTTCTTTCAAAAGGCATTGGAGAACCATTCAGCAATTTTAAGTAGCAGGTGAAGTCATACCTACATATAATGGCAGAGATCTATGTAGGTATATTAGAGTCAAATGAATGGTTTAAAAAACTATGGATATTTGCTTAAACTCAAAAAAGCCTCGATAGCCCAGAGCACCGCGAAACTTAAGAAAAATACCCTCGAGTTCGAGTTTAAAGGTCTCAAGTGAAATACATTGTATTTTGATTTTGCCGAGTGAGAGCGAAACTCAGCCCTGTATATATGTGTATGTATTTTATTCACTAAGATGATCGTTTTTCTTTGAGGCAACTATGGAATGTTAAGCTTGCCGACAACAAAGTTGCACAGCCGTCTTTTGTCAACCCACAGAGCTCATCGGGGCTTTTGAGAAAGTCTGATTCTGCTCGTATTTAAATCAGAGGTGGCAGCTACATATGTATAAAAGGGGCATTCGACTGGCAATTAGTGTTCTACGATCTAGCCGTTAGTCGACTGGCGCTATGGACAACTGCGCTTCTTCAGCTGGCCAAGCGCCTACTCTCGGTTCTGATAGGAGCTCTGGTCCGATACTGAACACTAACCCCCATTACCGTATCTGTGCTGTTTTTGCAAGATTAAGGTTCATAAATTCGGCTCGTATTTCAGCGGCACCATCGAGGAATACTCTGGGGTGGGTGATCATTGGCTGCCTGCGGAACTTCGTTTTTAGCATTCAGCACTTTTACCAACAACAATTACGTATGCATTATCTGCGGTTACCGTTCTAGCAAAATCGAGTTATTAAGTGGCAACACAATAGACAATATAAAAAATGTCGTAAGTGAACCCTCCGCGAGGCTGCCGCCTAACCTTACCTAACCTCACCTCAATACATACATACGTATGTATGTACGAGAATGTGTTTTCATTCCGTTTTTCATTGTTCATAAGCAATTTTTTGAAGTAATAAGCTACATTCGCTGGCCTCTTCACAACAATCATCTTATACGCCACCCTCTGCCTTTCGCCAGCTATTCAAGCGCGTCATCACCGTGGCTACGGCACAGTTAATGCCTTGTAAAACAACCAAATATGCGCTAGCACTGGCTGGCGGAAAGGGTGGACAAGGTGCATGTATGCATGTATGTAGCGTGCTAAAATTTGGAGACGCAGCAAAGCGAACTACGCCACAGACCAGAGACTAAGCTCAGCGCAGCTACAGTTCGTCCCAAAACCAAAGCGAGCGCTTATCATAAAATTAAAATCGTTATCATTATCAGCAACGACGATAACTCGTCGAACGCTGCATATGTGTGTGTGTCTGCTTGCAGTTGTGCCAGTGTTAGTGCGAGCTCGAAACTTACCGTTTAGACGCTTAACTGTTTTGGGGCTAAATATTCTCATTATGTGTGCTGCGCCCTGCTTTGGCTTTAGCTTTGGTTTTTGTCAAACGTTTATTAATTAATCGTCAGTAAAGCAAAAACAAAACAAAAGCATATTTATTAAAGGTGAAAAAGCGCACGCTCAAGAAAGCAACGTAAAACAAAAAAAAAACAAAAAAACAAAGCGCTTATGTGTTAGTAAATGTGCGTATATGTGTAGCTGGACACGCATACAAGCATGCAAGTTTCACGGTTTTATCACAAACTCGGTCTACTACCGTCAGGCGGCTACAAAAAAATACTCGCCTAACTGTCAGTTATACGTGCTCTGGGCCGACTCTAAACGGCCAGTCCGTTTCACACAGCCCGCAGCTCAACAACACACACGCTGTGGTTCGTTAACAGCCGCGGCCCGGCTCTGCTTGTAGATAAACTTTTTTAAGGCTCAACGCAAGCTTATCAAGCTAATCATTTTTTTTTACTATTCTCTCTGTCTTATTTCATACTCCTGCTTCATTTGTGTGCTGCGTGCCGCGTATTATACCAAATCTGCAGCTTCAAGACGTCTCACAAAAAGCGCATGAAAATGGAGAAGACTCCCCGCTACACGCAACGGGAGCGCAATATGGTGTTGGGTTTTGCCGCTCAATATAAGGACGTCATCGAGAATAAGCGCACCGATGCCGAATCGAATCGGAAAAAGGACGAAGTGTGGCGTCAAATAGCAAAAGAGTTTAACGCGCGTGTCTACCACCAACGCTCCTCCAAGCAATTGCGTCAACTGTACAAGAATATGAAGCTGCTGTTGAAGAAGGATCTCTGTGGCGAAGGCAAGGGCAACCGCACATTTATGGATCTGTTACATACGCTGTCGCAGCAGGAGTCCGTGGCGCAATACATATCGGAACAAATGTCGCCGAACGGTGGTAGCGGCGTGGGCAATGGCAGCTATGGCGGCAATCGACAGCACAAATACGATGATGACTACGATGACTCAAAGGTGAGTTCAAAATGAAAAATATAAAAAGATACTAAAATATTAGCATGATAAGTGTGTGCGGGCATGGAAGGGTGGCTAGCAATGAAAATGGGGTGCAGAGTTGTTTTAGGCGAGGCTCTTACCTGCCGTTGGGAGGTGGAAAGTGAATAGTAGCTAAGTGCTTGATAGATATGTGTTTAGACAAGGGGCTGTAGGCGTGCGATTGATAACAAGTGCGATTTACCAGCGGTACAGATTAAACTGGGAGCGAGCGATAAAGCAGAGCAGCAACGAGTACGCGAACTGCGGAATAGATAAGAGAGTTATTGGAGATTCCCGTAAGTTAATAGCAATCATAAGGTTTAAGAAGAGTTTTCGTTTGCGTTAGGGTATGAAAATTTATAAAAAAAAAAGATTTCAAAACGCAGTTAGAGGATTTATGTTTCTTCTACTTCTACTAATCTCGGCTTTTTGTATTATTTTTCCATTCATCTCCAGAATCCCTTCCCACAACTCGCCGCTCTCGCCTACGATGGCATGGATCCGGACGTGATTGTCATAAAATCCGAGGACATTAGCGACAATGATCAGTCGCAACCGCCTGAGGACATGGACGACGACGATGGAGATTGCCTGAGCTCGAAGGACATACCGGAAGTTTGCCTCGAGGAGGAAGATGATGAAATATTCGCCACTGATTTACGCCAATCAACACCCCTCCCGCCAGCACATACGTCTCAACGTGGTTCCTTAACCGCAAATGGTCCACCTCCGCAGCAAAACGGCTCACAGCAGCAGCAACAACCCGAAGTGACAATACAAAATGTTGGCGGCATACGCGTTGGCAGCATTGGCAGCTTGGCCAATTTGAAGGCGCTACAAAATGGCGTCAATAACTCTGCGCTCAGCATACCTAACAACAGCGGCGGCGGCGGCGGCGGCAGTCACAACAATGCCGGCACCAATAGCAACGCACATAGCAGCCATCATAACGGCCGTCAAACGCCCAGCACACGCCAACAGGTGAGCGCCGAACAACAAGCCGCGCAGCAATTGCTACTCAACGGTCTTGGCTTGAGCGCCGTGCATCCGCCGGAGCCGCCACTGCCGCAGCTGCAGCGCGCTACACATACAGGCAACCACAACAACAGCAACAGCAGTCTTATCAATAGCACAAATCAGCTGCTGCTGAGCTTGAATGCCAACGCCGGCTATGCTGGCTTGCACAAAAGCAGTCACAGTCATGGGCACAATCACGGTCACAGTCATCACAACGGCCATGGGGGCAACGGCGGTGGCGGCCTGCACAATCACAGCAACAGCAGCAGTGGTAGCAGCAGCGGCATCGGCTTGGGTGCCGGCGGTGGAGCACACAGCGGCACTAATAGCCGCAATAATGATTATCTAATGTCGCTGGCGATAAAGGAGCGCGAGAGAAAAATTGACTTGTTGAATGCACAAATCGAGTACTGGAAGACGCTTACGAAGAAGTTGGACGCTAATGCGGCGCATAATCCGACGCCAGCGTGCATGTGTCATTTTCCCGGCAAAGTGAATGGTTTGCAAACGCCGACAAGCAGCAGCTAGTCCGATACGGAAGAGGAGGAGGAGGAGGAAGTTAAGGCGGCAGAGGTGGTCGATGAGAAGAGGAAGGCAAGCGCAGTAGACGGCAAGGTTGCAGATGAGGCGCTTGGTGCGACCGGAATGATTGAAAGCGATGCGGCCGCTTTGGAGCTCAATGCGCAAGAAGTGGCGGGGGAAAGTGGTGTGACGGCGAAAATGATGAGAGATGAAGTGTTACGCGCCGCTGGCAACTCGCTTGCATCCTCCTCCTCCACTGGTAATGCGGCTGGTCATACAATGAGCGAGGCTTTCAAACTGGCGGCAGAGAACTTCGAAATTCTCGAATTAGACGCCTACGCGGAGGAGATGGAATTCGATGATGCGGAGGATGTGGCATGTCTGCTGGTGAAAATGTATAAATAGGGTCGAAGTCAAAAGATGCACAACCTCAGCTGGAGAACGTGCAGCTTTAAGAGTGTGCGCATAGCAGCTAATTTTTAAATTTTAGTTAATAAGCGTATAGATTTGTAAGTCTTAGCGTTGCAAGTATTTTGTGTCTAAATATTTTTTTTTTTTTTGGTTATGCGTTCCTCACTAAGCATTTGTTTTTTTTTTTTTGTTTTCGTTATGCGGCATTTCTTTTCGGTTTTGTTAGTGTGCGTAATTTTTTAAGTATGTAGTTTATTAAATGCGAAATTTGTGTGTCATAGCTTGTAAAAATGTATTAAAAGTAGCAAATGTACAAATACGGTTCCTAATCTAGTCCTCTTGTCTTATAAGAAACAGGAAGCCAACTAATTTTTTTTTTACATACATACACACATAAGTATGTAACTAAACAATTTTTTGTTTTACCAAATCGAACCCTAAACCAAAAACAAAACAATTTCAAATGAAATCACTTTCAAACCAAAAATATTGCATGAAGTTGCCAATTATTACTGATAAAATTTTTTTTTATTAATTACGTTTTTAGTAAGAATTTTTCTATAAGTTTTAGAGCAAACATAAGCTATTGGTCCGAATTCTTGTTTACGTACGAATTGAAAATTTGAAATATTTGATTATAAATACAATAGGAAAATTATAAATTTTCGATTCGTACGAAAACAAGAATACGGCCTATTATCATCGCTAATATGTATGAAGTATTGTAAGTAATTATTTATTTAAAAAAAATTTATATCTTTTGGTATTGAAGTCTGTTTATCTATGGATATAAATAAGGTTAAATGGAAGCAACTTGGAATACTAAAAACCTGTAAACTCTTCATATGTGCCCATAAATTTAGAATATACGTATATGTACATCTACATGCTGTACTCATTTATAGAAATAAATTAACTTGTATTTAAAAACAAAAGGCATGAATAAGCATAATTTTTTATATTTTTCATTACATTAATATCACTGCAACAAATTTCAATTTGATTAAGCTGGTCAAATAATGAAAAAGTATTAAAGGATTTGAAAAAGTTGGGGCCTGCAAATCATGAAGCATCTGAAACGCAACTAATGCCAATGTTGACGAGTCGTAGAATTTTTCCTTCCTAATTTACGAATTACGCAATGTGGCTGAATATTTTGACTGCTTTTAATGAATGCAATTGGTCTCAATGCCATGACTTTTCGAGTGTTGTACTCTGTATTTTTTTTTTTAGTTTTTTTCCCGTATATATCTTAGTGAACTATTAACCCGTTTTTCTTAGTGAAATGTAAAACATTGAGGTAATTCTTTTTAATGTTTTCGTATTTTATAAGGTTGGCTTTCAATTTAAAACATGTACTTAAATAAATGTGCTTACCAAAAAAAAATATTTAACATTGCTAAGCATTTTGTAAAGGGATTGCCTAGTCATAAAAAACACAAATTTCTAAAAATGTTGAATATAAAAATTATTGTAGACTTGAATTGTAAAATACATATTTGTGGCATGTATAATAAGAAATGTGAATAAAAATTTTTTTAACAATAATCAACAATTTGTTCCAGTACTCTAGGATTTAGTCAGAAGCTGTGTTCGGTCGGAAAGGGCTAGTTTCCGAGCCGCACTGACACTGGTTCTGTGTAGTCGGTCTGAAAGGACAAGTTCCAGAGCCGAAATTTACATATTGCGCACCATTTGATAATATCGGAAAAATCTTTTGAATAGCAAACAGATTTTCAGTCTCGATTTTTTGCAGTGCAAAATGTAAATGTAAATAAATAAAATCGCTAAAAACTAGCTAAGAGCTCTTAAATAAAACTAAAAATCCCGCTAGTCACCGATTTCTAAATTTTACCGCTAAATAACAACTAAATGGCAACACTGGTACCGACACCAAAGAACCAGCCCGGTTGGATAAGACCGTTTGAAGAGCACTGAAGTAATGTAAAATACGCTAGCGGTTGTGAACTTGGCTAGCATTTTTTTCGATTGCGAAATCAAGGTTGTCAATTCCACTACGCAGCTGCTCGCTAATCGCAAATTAAAAATGATAAATAAAAGTTATAACGAAATCACTTGTAATTCATTACGAGCACAATTTTTCCCCCGATCCCACAATTTCTTCAGATATTCCCAATCCATGCAACATTGCTCTTATCGGTTTCACAGTCATCGTTTATCGATTTCACTGCTGTCAAGGCGTATTCACACGAATTGGCCGTTCATTGAAGAAGAAGAAGCAGATGCGGAAGGGAAATTTTCACTTCCAGAGGTTTTCTCAATCTGTCACGGAAAAACCATCGGTAATTAGCCTTTTCTGCAATAATTTGTAAGCTAAAATAAAGAATTGTGAAATTGTATTAGAAGAAGTGTGCAGGTGGCTTATAATTCGACGTGGACAGACGGCTTAACCAACATCCGATTATTGGATTCGATTGGAAAATATTGGTGTTTCTATCAGGAGGCGCGGCTGAAACAGTGGCCAGAGAGCAAGCAGCAGCGGAGATTCGATAGTGCAAAGGAACGCAATGCAGGAGTGATGTGAGTGCAAATGTATATCCAAAAATTGATTAGTTTGTGTGTTTGCATGTATGGAAGTGAAAATTGTAATAGCGCCCACCGTCGAGTGGGTGGGGTGCGTGCGTTTGTGCATGCATGTGTGGCCGGGAACGGGTGATGCAGTGAAAATTGAAAGTGCTCAATTAGGTCTGAAGCAGCGCAGCAACAGCAGACGACTCAGCGGTCCAGCAACGCATGGACCGGGCAACACACTGGCCAAAACGCACGCTATATAGATGCTATGCGATAGTACGTCGCTGCTTTAGATGGTGTATTCGTCATATTTCGAAGTTTTTGTTGTTGTTGTTGTAGCGGCTACAACATATATCTCGAAGTCGGCGTTGCCTGTGGCATTGTTAGCGCCGTCGCAGTCGTCGCCTTTGTCATTGCGTTGTTAAATATCGTCGCCACATCGGGGTTTTCCGCTGGCTGTTAGTATAGTCTAGTGGTGGTCGTTCGCTGTTGTAGACGTCGGCGGCGCGTTAGTGGGTGCACATAAAATAGAGAAATAAATAAACTCTTGAAGAAAAGTGTGAAACGAATAGACGACAACCTCAAATTCGCGGCTCTCTTGTCTATGACGATAACTTTTTATTGTTTGGAAGTAAATTTTGTTCCTTAAAGTGTAGTTTTCCTTAATTTAAAATGTCAATTTGAGTCTGCTGCATGCTAGCGTCTTTCGCGATTTTTTACTTTTCTGTAGGGTGGTAAGTTTCTATGTGACTTGCCTTTGCAGGCTGGTGAATAAATAGGAAAATTTATTTATTTCTTCACTACGTATACGTGTGCCACACGCTGAGTCAGCGACTTAACATACTTAAAAATGATGGTATACATATAACTAGCAGTAATAATTTTATTCCTGCGTTTCTTTGCATATACCGCAACTGATCGGTGTAATATCCATGCAGTGCCTACATATTCCACGCAGCCGGCTGCGTCTGCCACCGCCCACATGCCTAATTGAGTTTATGTTTTGCCATGTTAGCTCGTCTAGACGTACAACTTCAGCCACGTTCCCCTATAGAACTGTAGTACCACTGTGTGTTTGTTTGTGTGTTTGCATCCATACTTCACACTGTCGAATTAACGAGCGTTCATTCATCCATTTCATCCCTACTCCTGACTCATACCACACTGTCTGTCTGGCGGACGTCGTTAGGTCGTCGAAGTCGCGGCAGTGCGGCTTCGCGCTGGCCAATGCACTTAACAGCGAGGGCACTAAACAACGTTGACGACGACGAAAAAATCTATGCAGTGATTTAATGGTAAACAAAGGAAGTTTGTAAACCTGAGGGTAGATAGAAAAACAAAAAAGTATATGTATATATTTGGTGACTTTATTTTCAAAGTTCAGCACTACTTCTACATATGTTTGTATGAATCTATTTGTGATTGCTTAGCATTTTTGTCCGCATACCTATTTTATTTATTTAATAGAGAACCTTTTAAGTTTATAGTTTACATACGCTCACATAGTAAAAATGAAGACCCATTTGCTTCTAATGAGCTTTGGTAATCGATACACCTATGAAATTTTTACGCAGCATAGAAAAAGAGGCGGCCGTCACTTCTGCATAGTTAACTCCAAATTATATAATATTTTTTAGCAGAAAGTCTATGCACATTAGGGTGGCCCTTAAAAAATCAAATGAGCGTTTTTTTCAGTCTCACCCCTTCAATCGGTAATAAATACCACGGCTCAAAAAATGAAAATTAATTTTTTTGCCAACTCATAACCCAAAATCGATACTACCGTAGGCGAAGATATCACATATAAATTTTGGTCCCGTTCGGAGTCGGTTAAGGCGTGTCGCAATGGGGCCCAAGGCCAGATGCTCCATGGAGACTCTAAAAATTAAAATTGTTTTTTTTTTTTTTTAATACCCAAAATCGATACTACCGTAGTCGAAGATATCACATATAAATTTTGGTCCCGATCGGAGTCGGTTAAGACGTCTTCCTAGGGTAATCTGAATTTTGACCGCTGTATGTACATTTCATTTCATTTCATTTCATTTATTAATAAAATCATTAGCACAATAAGATCAAAAGAATGATCTTTTATAGCGCAACAAAAAATTCATAACAGCACATACATATAACTAAAACAGCAAAAATTACTTAAGACTAAATAAAAGTAACATAATATAATTAACAGAGTAGTATTTTTAAGTGAGTTCTACAATTCCAGGACATATACTTAAAATAAGACTTAATTAAACAAGTACATAGAGAGCACATCACAGGGACTGAAGTGAAGCTAACGGAAATATGCATACAGAACATTTTTAGAGTTGCTTTTGTTTAAACTACTGCGAATATGGGATGGAATAGAGTTCCAGATGCGGATAGCATTGACAAAGAATAGCCGTGCAGAGCTGAGATAATTGTAGGTAGGAACAGTCAAGTCCTTTACTCGAGTGGATTTGGGGTACATGCATATTTAAATGAAGGAAATTTTAAATTAAGAACGTAGAGCCAACTTTCCAAAGTGCATTGAATGCTGGGTATTCACTTTAAAATAAACAACATTGTTCCTGGCATTTATTAATATCACTGTGCTCCGCGGCAGCGTTCTGCTGACAATGACGCCGCTTCCGACGTTGAAGTGCGGCGCAGCGTATACGCTGCTGTTTCAGTATTCCTCTAGCGGTGTGGCGCTCACTAATACTGTCTGGTGCCTCACCTTCCTTTCCGGTTTTTTTATTTCCTTTTTCCTGTTGTACGCTGTTGTTTTGTGTTGCATTCTATAATTCCGATTGGATATGAAATTCTTGAGTTGTTTTGAGATTTTTCAACATTTTGGGCATACATATGTATGTACGTATGTATGTATATACATATTTCTTAAACGTTGCGTATGAGCTTTCGTGGAGTGCATGCATGAGCCTACATATGTTTGTATAAACAAATTCCCATTTGCTTTCTATAATTTGCATTGATTTTTTATTTCACTTAGCCATAGATGCAAACTTTTGCTTGCTACTCTTTCCAGTTTTTACATCGATAGTGAAGGTCCATCGTCACCACTGACTCACTCACCTACCTGGTCATTGTTGGTCACAAAGGCAAAGCCAGGTCATATCATATATACATACGTAAAAAACATATATATATACATATGTATATGTATTTATATATATGTATGCGTTTTCTTGCATTAAATTAACGTCATCGTTAATGCATATTCGATTATATTCTCTTACTAATCAGTCTTACTAATAACCTGCATAAATTCGTGTGTTTACATTTGTGCGCTCTGTGGTATGGTCATCGCGAAACGTCATTCATTATTCACAAAGCAGTGTATACCTCGCGCGCTCCACATTTCAACACATATTTATCTCGTATATAGACAACGTCGTCACCCACAAGTCATCTGCACTATTTAATAATTTCGTGATCAGCAACAGCACGTGCCAAAATAACAAAAAAGCGAAAAAGAACGAATTCGCAAAACGTCTATTTATACATACGTAAATCTTAGCTGCTCTGCTCATTGTAATGTGTGTGCTCTATTAGCTGGCACTTTTATAATAAATTATTTAAAATATTATTGTATACAAAATCATCACATACATACATTCCTAGTATACAGTCGACAAAAACAAATATTTACTAAATCCGCTTTGACTTGCAAACTATGGCAGATTTAATACGTCTGGGGAATGTGGACGTTGTCATACAGAAAGATAAACTTGGTTCACCAACTGGAGGTTTGAATGACGGTAATATAGCCGCACTCGGTCTAGGCGCATTGATGGCTACGGGAGGTATTGATTTGGGCGATTTAGCCCAGGAGTTAGATCAGGATGAATTTGACGGCCCAAATATGTTGAATGGTGAGTAGAAAATTGCTAAATAATTTTACAAAAATTTATTAAGCTCAGTTTAATATACGAAATTAAGGTTGTATTGCCAATTTAACTCAAACTTATGCAATAACGCATGTAATTTACTCCATCTGATTTCATTTACATTTACAGGTGAACGTCCAGCCATAATTGCTCCACCCGAGAGTGAATGGTATCATGGACGTTTGGATCGATATTCGGCTGAATCGCGACTACGCGGAAGCAGCAAATTGGGCAGCTATTTAGGTAAATAGAAGCTATAAGCTCCCTCTAGAAAGTATTTTGCCACAAAAATACGGTATATGCTTGGCGTAAGAAGAGTTAACTAAAAACTGACTGATCAACTACAAACAATCATTTTAACCAATTCAATGCTGCTTATACTATGATAACCACCAAGCAAATGCTCTTATGTGATAATGAATAACCAAGTTACACGCTTAAGCAAAAATTTCGTAATATTTCTTTCTCTTTTTCAAACTACCAGTACGTGAGAGTGATCGTAAACCCGGCTCATATGTGCTCAGCTATTTGGGTCGCACAGGCATTAATCATTTTCGGTGAGTTAAATCTATTTCAAACATTCATTGATATCCAACTTAATTTATATGCCTCCCTCTCACCGCTAGCATTACGGCTGTGTGCGGCGACTTTTATATAGGCGGTCGCCAATTCGTTTCATTGAGCGATCTCGTTGGCTACTACACATCATGTAGTGATTTGCTAAAACGTGAACGCCTGGTTATACCAGTGCCACCGCCCGAGCCGGTGAATGATAAGAAGCGTGTTGTAGCACATTTACCCTACACTAAAATGGCCGACACCGATGAGTTGAGTTTCCAGAAGGGTGACATATTCTTTGTACACAATGACATGGGCGATGGTTGGTTGTGGGTGACGGCGCATCGCACCGGTGAGCAGGGCATGATCTTTCGTGAACTAGTCGAAGATTTGGATCCGGTCATTGATCCTAATACGGTGTTTCCGTGGTTCCATCCAAACTGCACGAAGAATGAAGCTGTCGATATGTTGGTGAAGGGTAAGTAAGAGGATGAAGTTTATTTCTAGAGTAAATTTTTAATAATAAATCATTTTTATCGTCCCCTCTTGATTGACAGCCGGACCAGGCAGTTTCTTGGTGCGCCCTAGTGATAATTCGCCTGGTGATTATTCGCTCTTCTTCCACATCAACAATCAAATTCAACGTTTTCGCATTGAGAAAAAGGGCGTGCGTTATCTGATGGGTGGACGTACGTTCGAGTGTCTTGACGCCGTGATTAATCGCTATCGCAAAGAGCAAATCGTCGAGGGCCACTCGCTCAGTCATCCGGTAAGTGCATTCACTTCGCTGTCATTTGCATTATTTGCACTAAATATTATTTTAAATTTATCATTTCTTTTTTCCTGCTAGGTGGTCAATGGCTCGCAGCCGGAATTCAATCAGCAGTTCGTCGTTGAAAAGGCTGCTGAAAAAATATACGCCACACTGCGTGAATGTCGCGATCAAATTGGTTTGAAGAAGATAAAGGGCATCAAGCATCACGGCCACTTGTTCAAAAAGTCCGATAAGACAGCCAAATGGAAGCAACTGTACTTTGCGCTTATCAGCGAGGGCAGCGAAACGCATCTTTGCTTCTACGACAATCCGAAAAAGACTAAACCGAAAGGTCTCATCGATCTATCGTGTGCCTATCTCTATCAGTGCCATGAATCGCTATGGGAGCGGCCATATTGTTTTCAAATCGTCGAGCGCGCGTTGCCGTGCTTGGCCAACAACACGTATTTGTGCGCGACGCAGGAGACCTACGTGGAGTGGATCAATGCATTAAAGGCGCAATGCAGTTCGCAGTTCAGTCGCGCGCAAATCAAAGTGCCCTGCTTGCGTGAGCTGCGCTGCTTGAATTTACATGTATTGGAGGCGCATAAGTTGCCATTCAAATTGGTGCCACATCCGTACTGCAGCATATCGCTGAATCAGGTGAAGGTGGGAAAGACGCGCGTGAAGATTGCACCAGACCCGGTGTGGGAGGAGGAATTTGTATTGGAGTGAGTAAAGAAAAATAAGTGAAGTACACTTATTTATTTCAATTTAAAATTTCATTTCCTACCCTTCAGCGACGTGCCGCCCGATGTGGTTTCACTCACCATAACTCTTGTTTCACGTGGCAAGCGCGGCAAGGATTCGGAAGTGGCTGAGCTGACCATCGACTTGGCTAGCCTAAAGAATGGCCAAGAGACCGAGGGATGGCATCAACTCACCGGCATGACTCCGATGGGAGAGTGGGGTTCGTTGCGCCTGCGCATGCGCTACCTCGACGATTTGATTATGCCCTGCGAGGAGTATAGCCCGCTGCAAGAACTGCTGCTGGAGCCAGAACTGTGCGTCGTGAAAGCATTGGCTGAACTCTGCCACAACGATCGGGTGCCTCTCGCCACTGCGCTGTTGCGCGTGTTCCGCCACGAGAAGCGTGAGACCGAACTGATACGCATACTTTGCCAGGCAGAGGTAGCACGCGAAAATGAGACCACCACACTCTTCCGCGGTGCTTCGTTGGCCACCACGCTAATGGATTTGCACATGCGCACTGAGTGTACCGGCTTCTTGAATGCCGCCGTTTCGGAGACAGTGCAGCGCATACTCGACAGCAAGCAGTCGGCCGAGCTGAATCCCACCAAGATGGATGTGAATGACGATGCCTGCTCGAATGCCGAATTTTTGTTGCAAATACTCGATTTGGTGACGCATTCGATTTTCACCTCGCCCGAGGCGTGTCCACGCAGCGTGCGCTACATATGCAATTGCCTGCAGAAGGCAGTTGTGGCTAAGTGGCCCACAGAGCGTTTGGTGCGCACGCGCGTCGTTTCTGGCTTCATATTCTTGCGTCTGCTATGCCCGGCGCTGCTGAATCCGCGTCAATTCGGTTTGGTAAGCGAGACGCCGCCAACAATGGCAACACGCTCGCTGATTATGGTGGCCAAATGTTTGCAAAATCTGGCCAATCTCATCGAGTTTGGAGGCAAGGTACGTATGAGGGAGAGAAGAGAAAGGGGTGTAGCCAATAATCGGCCTTATCGCGAATTCCATGTGAACAAATATTTTCAAACACTATAAACCAAACCAAAAAAAAAAAAAAAAAAAATTCCCAATTTGTTTTAGTTTTGCATGTAAAATCATGGGAACAATTAATTCACTTGGAATTGGCTATATGAATATCTAAATATTTATCCACTTTTATGTCTTTTTATTTGCAGGAGCAATACATGGAGGTGGTCAACCCATTCATATTGAAGAACAAAGAGCGCATGATTGTATTTCTTGATCAATTATCGCTTGTTACGGATCCGAATCCGCCGCCTGGCATGTTCAGTGAACAAAATTCCAATCACACTGTGCAGGATACTGGTGCGGAGCACACAAATTCAGCAACCTTTATGCCTAGTTAATTATATATTTGGTTGTTTTTGCAGGTCGCGAACTGGCCACACTCCATCACATTTGCGTCTCCTACTTGCCCGAGCTGCAAGGACTCTCGAATATACTATCCATTAAGAAATTGGTTACAGTCACCGATATGCTGACAAAACATAAACTAAAATATCGCGAAAAGATTAGCTAAGATGATTGTGAATAAGTTGCGTCGAGTGCTGCAGCGCATTAGCCAAGCCGTGGCAGCAGTGCAAGTCAGCTACCACAAGTCAGCACAGCAGTTAGGCAGCGGGGAAATTTAGAGTGGTGCAAAAATGAAATATGTAGTAAAGAAACAGAAGCAACACCAAACAATTATTTGTGCGATAAATAGTACGCTAACGCCCCTACATAAATGTAATGCGCGGTCGAATGTAAAAACATACATATTCACTTAGGAATTGCGAATACAAAGTGTTGACGGCGCCCGTAAACTAAGACCGATTTTCACGTACGTGAAGTAATAAACATTTTTTATAATAATTTTTGTATGAACTTTCTTGGCATGTTGCGCAGTAGAATGAGCAGTTGGCGCGCATATTTTTCGTTTGCGCGGCCGAACACTTTCTAGTAGCGTTTAGCTTAGAAAAAGTTATTTTTAAAGCTGGATGTTTAGCTGAAGAATTCCATAAGGCCAAAATATGTGCTGCAATGTTAACGGTGATTTTTCTTATTTTTCGATTTTAAATTATTTAAAATTAGTTATGCGAAAATTCTTACGTCAGATGTATGTATCTCTCTTTTGCATTTGTTTTAAATACGATATAAATATCTAAGGAACAAAGTGCTAAATCAATTTTGTCACAAGCCTTGAAACTTTAAAACAGTTACTCAAGAAGAAGCTTTTTTATAGTATGTTTTTAAGCCTAAAATTTTTCATCATATGACATTTTGTGCTAAAACTATACGAATACCGATATTTATTTTAACTGGGTAAACCTTGAAATTTACGATACTTTTATTAAACTTTCATTTTTTTTTTTGTTTGAAAAATATGCTCGCATTTCGAAAGTTCCATTTTAAATTTTTAAGGGAATTCTCCTCAATATTTTTTATGTACAAATATTCCGTTTTGGTGTGCGTTCCTTTTTATTTGTACATGTTTTTTTTT